AAATGTTTTATTTTTTAGTGTATATTGTGATTTTTAAACATTTTTTGATTTGGGAAATTACATATGATGAATATTACCCGAATAGTAGTGTTATATTTCAAGTGTCTATCATATGTTTGAATCTTTTATATGAATTTGGGGTTTGTGAATTATATCTTGATATGACTGTCAGTTGTATCTCAATGTAGTGATTTATACAGTTATATAATCTCCCAATTTCTTAATAATTATACAATATAGAGTAAATATCTTGTATACTTTTTAAAATACAAACTCGAGATACACAAGGATGCTAACACATAGTATACAATTTTTTGTGCTTTTGTAGGAGTATGAGTTGTTTCTTAAAACCCCCCTGTTCATCCTCTGCGTATTGTTAGTTCTACAAAGGATGGCATTGTTAAAGACTTAAAGAAGATCCTTACTGTTGAACAACTTGACATGTTTAGGCAGACATGTTTTGGGATGTATCTAGATATTCCAGAATGCTCATTTCAAGCACAATTACATCGTTGCTTGATGACACTTGAAGTTGATCAAGATAATCCTAATGAATTTTGGATATGTGCTAATGGGTCTATCCTGCGTTTCACTATTGCTGAGTTTGCTCTGATTACCGGGCTCAAGTGCACCGATAATGAAAATGATTTCCAGGTTGATGATAATTCTAACAGTAGTTTGTTAGTCGATTATTTTTATGGTGCTAAAATTGTAAAGAAGGAGGACCTTAATAAGTGCTTCAATGATAAGAGGTGGGGAAGTAACAATGAAGATGCTGTAAAGATTGCGATATTGTACTTCATATACAATTTTATCTTCTCACAGCAGAATGATACTATCCCTATAAGAGATTTTGTGATTGTTGATAATGGGACATACAATCAGTTTCCATGGGGAAAGATATCATTCAAAGAATTGATGAGAACATATAGGCACAAATTAAATTATACAAAGCAATTGTATCGTCAAGCGGGAATGTCGTATGCTATACAAGTATGGATTTACGAGTGCTGCATGCAACTCCCCCTCACATTAGCTGTTCGTCATGCTAATATAATTCCCAGAATTCTGAACTGGCGTGTTATTGATCCAATGCCCAAATTCAACACCATCATGGAAAGCATATTTATCAACACAGGCAACAGAGTAAGTATATTTATCTGGTAATGTCTATTAAATATGATGTCAGATACATGTATCCTTTTGTATTAATCAAATTTCATATGTTGCAATGTTATTTTTCACAATTAGTAGCTATTATTGTTTTATGTTTCCATTTATTCTTTTAATATGTATCTGAAACGTATATTGTAAATTTTCAGGTCTCATTTAGTAACATTTCTCCGTCTCCAACTGAATTGGCAGTCTATGACTTAACTCATGTATCTGACATTACTCCAAATCAAGTTGTCATTTCTGTTGTTCCTGATGGATTTGAGGATTTTACTACTCCACCTCCATCAAATGTGTACATGGTGTCTAATTTGTCTGGATCTTCATCAGCGCAGCCGCATAAGAAACAAAAGTTTGATGGCACATCACATGCTGCTAAATTTGACAATCATGATATGTGTAGTCATACACCTGAAACAGTGATCAGCGAGGGAAAAGAACCCTTAATTAGTTCAGTTTTCGATAATCCTCACAAGTCCGCTGAAAAGGAGTGCACTACTTCTTATCACGAGCTAACTCACAACATCCAAGTGCAAAGTCCACAGTCCAAAAACACAGAAGAGGATTACAGTTCCAGTCAAAAAGAGTTTTCTTTGCTTCGGAAGGATATCAACAACTTAAAGGATATGGTAAAAACGTGTTCAGTTTATATATATATATGTGTGTGTGTGTTTTTTTTTTTTAAGTTTGTAACAAATGCATTAATTCTTTTGTTTGTTAGGTGGAAAAACAATTTGTTGATCTGCGTATGTACATGCAAGACATGTTCAAAGTCATATTTGACACTATCAAAGAAAAGAAAAATATGGAGTATAAGGTTATCTAACCGTTTCTGTATAATATACTAAAAATATAACACATAATACATTTGAACTTTAATGTAATCTAAATTATTATTTTTAGGGTCCAGGAAGTGCTATTCAAAGTAGTGATGGTGATGGTTCACACAATAATGCAGTTCCACACAATACACATGGTGAAGGTAATGGCAGTGGTGACACAAAGAAAGCTACCACAGAAGAAGTTCAGGGTGTCCACGTATCAAAGGTACCAACAATAATTCATGTATTCATGATTATTTATTCATTAATATCATATGTCTATATCATTACACAAGTTTTCAATTCTTTAGTATGCACATTTTATTCATTTAGTTAGCAGATACACAACTACCATACACAGATACACCATTTCTTCATGATATATTATAGATACAGTACTTCTCGTAATGTCAATAAATTACAACTTTGTAAGTTTGAATATCAAAGGATGATCATCAGGATTACATGGTTCAATCTAATGTATCTGATCGAACAAAAAAGGCTTTCACAGACGAGATACATCAAGCAGGTCAATATGAGGTATAACAAATTAACAAGAAATACAAGTAATTCAGATAGCTAGCTATATGATGTATATTTGACTGATTTTATATTTATTTTAAGGAATTACATGAATCTGATAAAGACGTGCCAGTTGCATCAAATTACATACCTATACGCAATTCAAAAGTTCGCAAATCAACTTCACAGGAGCAAGATCAGTTGGAGTCAATCTGTGTACTCCCATTGAGTGCAGTACCTTCAGATACAAACACCAATTTTGAATTTTTTATTAGTGACAGTGCCTTTCCATCTCAGATATCGGAAACCAAAATTGTTGTACGTACATCAACAGTGTTCACAGAGACACCAGTTCAAAGTAATAGGCTACCTGGAAGATGGAACAAATCACCATATGTTACTGAATTTGGATCTGGATCAGGCACCAAAGTTGTATCAGATACTTTTTCTCAAATTCATCCATTTCAATCATATTTCATCGTTGGCCCCCATCCGTTTGAATTGTTTCAAGAATATTCTGTGTGGTTACAAGCTGGGCTTCTAAAGATTCATGCCAACAAGTACGTATATGTGATTTATTTCTGAGTATCACATATCGTAAGAAGCTGATTGTTTGATTTTATATCTAGAAAAGTATAATTCCAATTTCTTTTACATTTCAGGAAAACAAAGGATGAGCATTATAGGAAGAAAGATTGTGATCTCGATCAACATCTCGACTTTGTTGTCGCATTTGCAAAGACAAAAAATTGGTTTTACACCATGTCAGTTGCAGGCAATTATTGGAATGCTGAGGTAATTATTTTTTTTTTAAAAAAAATTACATAGCTTTTTAGTTGGTGTCGTGTATACAACTTAGATACATGATGTATCTCTTAATATAATTCATTATGTTACTGTTATGATCCTAATATGATATGTATCTCAATAATCAGACATAAGTATTCTCATTTTGTAATATGTATTTGGAACAAAATTATTTCTGTATTAAGACCAACAACAGATTTTATTTTGTAATATGTATCTGACCATCTTCATCAATTCATTATTTTGTTTTTATAGCACATGGATGTTATTTTCTACTATTTAAGGAAGAAGTCAAAGTTCCAATCAAACGGCAATCCCAGATACACTACTGCAATGTGTCATTTTAAGTCCCTCATGGATGAGATTTATCACACGTATAAAGCTCAAGTTCCTGGTCAGAATGCTTTCACCCAAGGAAATTCTATTTGTTCATACATTAACGGTTTTGGGACACCTGCTGGTATACCTTGGGATCAAGTTGATGAGGTGTATATTCCTGTTAATTGCAAGGAAGAATTTCACTGGGTGCTGGCAGTTGTACAACTCAAAGACAGGTGCATCAGAGTTTATGACTCGCATGTGGTTGCTGGTCACAACTCTTTGATAAAAGCAGATATTGCTAAGATTGCATTTCTTTTGCCTTCTTATTTGACTCTTAGTGGTTTCTTTGACAAATCTGAGCGCGTTGACTGGTTGAATCTTGAAGAGTACAATGGAAAAACAGTCCAAGATGCCTTTGAAATTATATTTCAAAGTAATATTGTTCAACAGTCCAGTGGTTCAATGTGTGCATCTTTTCACTTTGTATATATATTTATTTATGTTTAGTCATGATTGTTTATATTACTAATTTAATGTTGATTTTTCAGGGACTGTGGATTATATTCAGCTGCATATGCTGAGTATCTGACTGATGGACAATCGATACCATTAACAAATTTTGATGTCAATCTACACCGTTCGAGATACGGTGCACTTTTATGGAATTATGGAAATCAAAAAGCCTCGTCTGGTTCAGTCAGTGATAACGAAGATCCTCACAAGCCAAGGAACACGTTTGTTGATTCAGATGGCATTGAAAAGATTAATATAGATTAGTCATCTGAAGTTTTTTTAGATTTCCCCTTTATTGAACTTGCTAAGGTTATTTTTATTAGATACATTAAGATACGTGGTTATAACGTATCTAAGTCGTTTCTCATTCCCATTTTGTCCTTTTTGTAAGGTTATGAACCTATATTTTGATTATCTTTATATAAAAGGTTGTTTAGATTATACATGTAATTTTGTTTATTTATAATAGCTCTTATTAAATTCATGACATTACTTATCTTGCTTAGTATGACATATAGATTTAGTTAAATTTTAATGATCATGGAAAGAAGCTGAATTTGTACAGAAGTGGGTCAGTTCCACCTACTATATATTGATGGTTCGTTAAGTGCAGTGGAGCTGAAATAGTATTCATATGCTACTATTTCATGTATCTGTTCTACATGAATGTTATATCTATCAATATCACAACCTCTTTACACAATGTGAGTCATATTTGTTACATATGATTTTATATACGCGTATTCAATAGGATTTCCTAATCAATATCATTGATAAAATCGATCGAATGTATCATTTCTGTCAATAACTTGTTGTAAACCAAAATAGAAAAATGCCAAAACTTTATCATACTTGCCATAGAATCCATGGAAAGTCATACCAAATTCCAGAAATACTAAATTTCACCAACAAGACTAAAAAAACATCCAAATGTATATGAAAATAAGAAAATTCATCTCTTCATTGGAAAATAACTATAAGTACGTCGATTGTGACCTTCTTGACCACACTGTCCACAACAATTTGTACTTGATGATATTTTTTCACTCATGTTCTTATGTCTGCTCTTCTTTGGCCTCCCTGGTGGTCGCTTGTATTTAGGTGGCAAAACAACTTCGTTTAACACACTATCAGGTATATTCCAATCTTCTTCATCCGGCAGCGGACCAATTGGTATCTCATATGTACTTATTAGTGTTGATGGCTTGTAGTATTCTGAGCAATATGGTTCAAACTCAGTTATGTTTTTTTCTTCTTAAAACTGCAATTGCATGCGAACACGGTATCTCGTCTAATTGGAACCTTCCACAACTACATGTTTTACTAATCAAGCAAACAATGTATCTCCGTCCGTTATCATCAACTCCGTACAATGATTCAGAAGAAGGTCTCACCTGAAAGGTAGCAATACTGCCATTAGTTATATAAATTTCATAATATTACAAGCAAAACATTTTAGATACATCTTTCATGTATCTAGATACGCTTGATGTAATGTATCTAAAGTTTCTTTAATCCATACACGTCACACAGTAATATCATATAAAGAAAAAAATAGTATAACAAATAATACGTACCGTCATACGTGAAGACTTTGCCTCATTCACAACTAACATCTCTTGGAATTTTCTTCCAAGGGTAGTAAATGTATATGTTGCCTTTTCTCTATTTCTGCAATTCCAATCTCCAAATAAAATTCGAACTGGCTCCAGAAAATCAATTATTGGTAGTTCTCGTTCCTCCACTAAACACGAATTGATACATTCTGCGATATTGGATGTCATCATCCTACCTCTGTTTACAGGTGCATGTACTCTTGCCCACTTCTCATATCCTGCCAACATAAGATAATCCTTCACTCTATGATCCATATCCTCTACTTTCTTCATAATTTCATCAAAATCTTCTTGTCTGTATGCCTTTGCCATTGCATAAAATACATCGCTTAATGTATTTTTGCTCTTCTTGTAATACTTACACACATTCTGCCAAAGATGCCAAACACAAGCATAATGAGGCACAGAAGGATACACTCTACTCACAGCCTTTATAATGCTTTCATGACGATCTGACACAACACACATGTTGACACGTTCACCAAAAGCGCCTCTGAAATGCTCGAAAAACCACGTCCAAGAATTATCATTCTCAGAGTCAATTACACCATAAGCAAGCGGTAATATACACCCTGTAAAACAAACAGATACATGGCATTATAGTTATTGTTAAATATTAGTAAATACAATCAAAGACGGATACACATATAAGATATTCATTCTTTTAATAAAATTAACACACCTGCTCCATCCAGAGTGCTAGCAGAAACAAATGTGCCCTTATAAGCTCCTTTTAGGTGAGCTCCATCCACAACAACAATTGGCCTACAGTGCTCAAAACCTTTTATAAAAGGATACAACGCTATAAATAGATACATGAATTCATTATCTGTTGACTTATGCATTCAGATGTAAGAGTTTGGATACACAGTATCCAACATATACAAGTAGCTTGGCATCTTAATGTAACCCTCTGTTGGACCTCCTCTTAACATCTTAATAGCTCTCTCCTTCGAACGCCACGCCTTCATGTAATTAATGTCAACTCCCAAGTCACGTTTAACATCTTCCTGAATGTCCTTTGGAGTATGCTTTCTTTTATGATTCTCATATTTTGGAGCAACTATTCCAGCTATTAAACCAATTGTTGCTTGATGTTGTGACATCACTTTATCCTTTAACGGACATGTATGATCGTTATTGAAACACCTTACTCGAAAAATAGTTGTATCATTCAAACAGGATGCTTTGAATACCCATTGGCACTCCTCAGACATACATCTCAAAAAATAACTGCACACAAAGGCACTCATTTACAATAGTTGAGGCTACCAGATACATTATTAAATATACAAGATACAAACTGATGAAACTTAACAATTTTTGAATTCACTATAATGCTACTCACAACAAAAAAGGATACATGCCCAACTAATCATATATGATACCAAAATTCGAGATACATAATATTTTTACAAGATACACAATATAAAATCTCTAGACATTTTTCTCATGTATATGTACTACATTATTTTCAGGTCGTTTAGTTGCTCGAGATACACTATAAAATTATGACAAATTTATTTTCATATATCTGCTCAACATTATTATACTAGATACACGCATAATAAGATCCACATGATTTAAACTTCATTACTTTTAAACATTAGATCGTTACTTTAAATAATGTGGTATAGATTATTTGTCCGAGATACATATTATTTTTCCGAGATACACAATATAAATTATGACTCTTACACATAATACCAGATACACAGAAACGATACAGCCACTAAAACAACAAACATGACTAACCTCTTTTTGTCGGATCTTGCAACCTTGTATTGGAATCGATTGTCTATGGCATATTTTTGCATAACAGCCACAATAGTCTTCTTGTCCTTATACAACTGCTTGACTTGAACAAATTTTTGATTACAGTCACCAATAACATGATCCGAATTCATATCCAAAATACATAATGCATCTACACTACGAATCTCTTGAAGAACTACGCCAGATACATTCATGTCATCACCTCCAACTTGAACAATTGATGTATCTGGCTCAAATGCAATTTCACCATTAATACCACATCCAAAATTGTGATCTTTTGTTGTTATGCACAATGGATACATCCCGCAATTTGTTTGACGTCTTTTCAGTTCCATAAAAAACCTCATGCCCATCTCGTTTCGGATTTCCATTGGAGTTAGATTGCCTTCCATCTTGTATCTGATCTCCATTATTTTTCGAGTACAATCGATTCCTAATTGTGCTGATATACCATCGACTAGATTGTTGTAGTTTGCATTATCTCTCAAAAGTATTCCATCAATTCTATAGTTTTCATATTCAATTTCAGATACCCATGAACCGGAATGCCTCAACAATATTGTGATATTCGCCATAATCAAAAGAAAATTCGAAAAATTTATAGGTTGAAAAGAATCTTAATTTGATGAAGAAGATGAAGAAGTGCAGAAAATAATTTGATATACAAATCGGTTGATGATGAAATGGAGCCATGAAATACGTTATGGTTGTTATATCTCCCATAATTTACTCCTTCAATTAAGGGATTATCTCCCACGATTAATTCAAATTAATTAAGAAACCTGTATCCTATCTTTTAAACATGTATCCCTCCTTTAAATTTTAATAGAGTCATGTATCTTAAGGATTATTACCCATGTATCTTAGGAATAAAAAGTGATACAGGAAGTAATATTGAAAACTAATGGGATTTCTAGTAATTGGGATGTAAAGTAGTGGGATATATGTAGTTTGCCCTATATTTATTAATAAAAACAAAAGAAGAGTCAGTACAACTCTTAAACAAAAACCAAAAAGAAAAACAATAGTCAACACCTAGACACAAACACAAAACGGAAAGAGGAAGATGACACCAAAGGCAAAGAGAAAACGGAAAGCGTAGAATCACTCCTCGACCCCAAGAAATTGTTGGCAAACCACCAATGCTGGCCACAAAAGACCAAGTCGCAGTCAGCTAAGACAACAACTATCACGCCCCAAATTCAAGGGCGCAACTGGCTCCTAACGCCAAAACTCAGGCTCGAGCCGACCCTGCTGAACCATTTGCTACTAGCGCATGGCAGCCACAAACAGTCAAGAAAACAAACAAGTATATCTCGGCTTAAAATTAAGCCCTCGGTCAGCAAGACCCCTATAAACAGATCCATAAAAGAAACAACTACTCCCAAGAGTTCATATAAAGAAATAGCCAACTAGCACAGAAGTCCTGATTGGGCCGTCGAGGCCACCATGATCTCTATACCGAAACTGAAAACAGGTATATCAAGACAATGCAGCACACAACTAACAAGCTTTAGCAAACCAACAAACTAGGTCAGCATGGCCATAATGTAGCTATAAACCCCACACACTA